CTCTCTCTCTCTCTCTCTCTCTCTCTCTCTCAAAAGTGCACCAAGAAAATATCCTATTAAACCCCATTTTTTGTAGTGCCAGGGTGTACTCTTAAATTATATCTACTTTGAACACTGAGCATGTCATATAAACCAATGCTAGCATTCAATTTTGAAAAGCATTGTGTTATAAGGCGGCAATAACAACTTCCATGAAAAAGCTGGCAATGTCATAGTTCTACCACGAAGAGATGACTTACAAATGATACAGTTCAGAAGAAGGTTCTGTAATATTGCTGTTACAAGCGGACACCAACAAAGTGCTTTGCAATTTGTCAAAAAAAAAAGTCAAAACGTTGCACTGTGTACCCATAGTGCTGTACTCGCAATTTAGAGCTTGCTATCCAGATATAGTTTGGTTTTAGTGAATGCACATTCTTCCACATCAGGCAATTCTTTGGCATAAAGGACACTGACAGATGAACAGCTCCCCACTTCACAGAAAGCACCATGAACTACAGCAACCCCCACAACCCAGCAGACATTTGCTGTTGGCTCAGACGGGGTGCTGGGGAGGGGGAAATCAAACTCCACTTTTAAACTGATTCAGAAGGAGTTACATATCTGCAGCTCTTGCCCCCCCCTCCCCCCCAGTTCCAGTGCTCTCTGTATGATGGGAAGGGGAGAATGGAGGGGAAAGAGCTCCAGGCTGGGGTTTGCCCAGCTCGCACTGGGGAAGACGGGAGTGGATTGAAGCCCCCGCATCTCAGGGGGGCAAACCCCAGCCCAGAGTTCCCTCCTTTCCCCTCCCTTCTCCCTTTTCCATCATGCAGAGAACACCAGGGGTGGGGTAGGGCTGGGCTGCATCAACCCAGCCACAATCAGACAGAAGCTAATGAAGGTGATCCACTTCGGAGCATCTTCATCTGAACCCTCATGTAACAAGGGTTAATTTGTTGCATGATTGGGAATTTTTCAAGCACTCTGCAACCATGCACTTCTATCAGGACATAACTGTAGAGCGCTTTCAAGGGGCCGATTGCATGACAAATGTCACTTCTGTCAGTGCCCAAAAGCACAGTTTTATGCTTTATCAAGACAGTCTGACTTTCAGTCTGATTTCATGCAAACCTGACAGCGGCTGATGATGTTTTCCAGTTCTCCTGATTTCATAGTCTGTGGTAAAGGTTTCCTATAAAAAGAAAGGGAAACCACGTTTACTTTGCTCTTTCCTATAAGCGCAGGGCAGTGAGCATTTTCTGATTTTGTACTGCTGTGCTCTTTCATCCTGCACATCAGCTCTCATCTATTTTAGCTTGTCCCACCACAGCAAGCATCATAGTGGGCCTTTACACACACCACTGATTTTGAATCAGAGGAAGGCAGAGGGGAGGAGGGAGAAATACCACAATCCCACCATTGTGATCTCTTAGGCATGAGTCCAAAATCCAAGTCTTTCTGCTGCCTGAAACAGGCTTATAATCAGGGCTTTAGATTCTCATGATTTTAGAAATTTGTTCTTATCCCCTGCTTAGGCTGGAGGTGGACAGTGGCATGAGCTCTGTAGTTGACAAGACTGGAGACTACTGGGTGCATCTACGCATTCAATTAATGCGCTAGTACCTCCATTGCGAAGTACTGGAAAAAAGGCACATTATCTTACTTTAATGCACATTAGTTAAAGAGCACAGGGTGCCTGTATACGAGCATGGAGGCTTCTCTGACACACTGTAACTAAGCACATCAGCGCAGACTCAATTATTTGAGTCTCCTTAAGTGTAGTTATTACTGCATTCCAGCAGCCTCCCATGTCTTGTGTATCAGCATCCTCCGCACTTAAAAATTCTGGTGGGGGTGCTTGAACTAAAGCTTGCTGAACGAGTTTTAGTTCAAGCACCCCTACTGCCATTTTTAAGTGTGGGGATGCTGATACACGAGACACTGTAGCACTTTAATGTATGATGTGTAAAAATACCCACAGCTTTTTTGTGACGCTTTAGTGCACATTAAAATAGGCTAATGTGCATTAAAACACATGTGTAGATGAGCCCAGTGAGTCAGTTTTGTAGAAAGAATTCAGTATTATTGAACAGTAGGGAAATGTTGAGAATGGAGTCTTTAGAAGCACAGGGACATAGCCTGCCATATTCTCTGCAGGTGCCTACGGATAGCCCTGAAGGGCATCCAACATTTACCAAGAAAAAGGTATAGGGTTTGTTAAAGACACCTTGAAATCATCAACTTTGTTTGTAGTATTTATATATATGCACCACACGCACTTAGAGGAACCAGGAATTCGGAAAATACTTGCTTGCCATATCAAAGTTTAGCACTGAGTACCTAATAGGCTAATGAACACTAGAAAATCCAACTGAGATGGTTAGGATTTTACAAGCAGGAGAGCAGTGTAGAACCAGGGCCAGGAAGTTCTAATTAACTGGGCATTGACACAAAAAAGTTTCTACAAGGTAAAGGAGCACGGGACGTTTTAACACATAAGTTGCTCTGCAGTATTGTCTCCTGTGCATGTTCTTACCCTGTGGTAGATGAAATCTAATTCATATCAACTTAACCCTCAAAGTGACTTAAGTGCCTCTTTTGGTGTTGGAGATAGTACCTCTTTTCCAGGTACTGGGAGACAAACCCACCATTGGCATAAGCAGGTGAAACTACTGAAGACAATGGAATTACAGTAGCTTATATCAGTTGTGAATGTCTCCATTTGCATTTAAGAGGTCCATTTTGGGAAGGAATAGGAATTAAGGTTCTAATCCTTGACTCTCAAGCCCCTTTGTATTTAGAAAGTTCCAGCACTGCAACACGACCCTGAATCTCATAAAGCCAACCCCAAGATCATCACTGGGGGGATTCTCAGATAATGTACAGCTAATTAATGGCTCCTCATTGTTTCCTCACTCTGGGCCTGCAGCAAATCTAGTAGATGTGGTTAAGGGAAAGAAGACATGGCTTAGACTAGCTTACCTGAACATTCTTCTTGGATCCAGTGAAGCCAACCAAAAGCTGTAGGAATTGGCATAGTAATTGCAAGTCCCTCTACTATGGCACTCTATGAATGGAACGGCTCGGAATTCTTCCAAGCAAGACCCAGGAGATGCCAATGCTTGACCAGAAGCTTCTGAGCCAGCACCTGTATACTATAATCAAAAACACCTTTCATCAAAATCTATTAATCAGCTTTTACTATATTGGAGGCAAAGTGAAACAAAATACAACAAAATACATCTCTTTAAAACATGCTGTTTACCAAGACATGTTGTGCGACACAGCAGGACAACAGCCATCAGCCTTTTATGAAGGGATGGATTATTGTATTGTTGACTGGTCTTATTTGGTTAATATGGTCTATTCCCTTGTAGTAAGGCCTAGAAGTCTTACGACAATTAAAAGGACTTCATGTTATTTCTTTATCCCCTGAAAAAACTGAAATTCCCATGAAGAGGTTTGGGGCCCATCTAGTTAAGGACCACAAGTAAGTAACCTGATTTCAAATAGATTACTTCTTGTTTCACAAAAATCAGAAGAGGAATTTTTCATACTTGTAAAAATGGCATCAAAATGACCCCTGACAGCAGAATGGTTTGAACAAACACCTTCTTTGGGGTTGGCAAAAATCTGCATGTTTAATATTAGAACACAGTAGTAACCAGTCTCTTTAAACAAATTGTCTTCCTTTCCTTTTCATATTTATGGAGCTTTATATAGAGGTATCCTGGGGAAGGCAGCAAACCTCACATCTCATCTAAAGGGTTCTGCTTCATCTGAAGAGATTGTGGGGCTGGAGAGGGAATGTTTAGCTCAATCAGTCACCCACAATTGCTAACATGGGGCATGGGGAACTTTCACCAAAAAAAGGTAGTATAATAATCCCCTCAATGTTGGCATACATCTTTCTCTGCTTTCCTTTAGCTTCTCAGTAATGAGGTACAGAAGCCCACTGCAGATTTCCTTCAGATCAGGAAAAAAGGTGTGCTGTCCTTTTTGTAGAAGGGCTTTGCTCTGCAAATTTGTACTTTTATTTTGTTCTTCTGTGGAGTTTGGCTTTTAAATATGATTTACATTAATGCTGCCTGGTATTGCTAAATCTGTAATTTTGGTTGTTGAAATGGCCCTGATTTGCTGTGGGCTACGCTTGCAATGTAATTCATTTTCAAGTCAGTTCAGCTGCATCCACTAATGAAAACTTCATCGTAATTTAAATGAGCATAAAAGGAAGAAGCATTCATTAATTTTCTATCAGTCCATAGTATCCCAGCATACCAAGGTTCTCCTTTTTTCTGTCCCCCTTTTCCTCTAATGGCATCTATTTTTGAGTGCAGATTGGAAACCCCATCTGCAAGGAGGTGTTTTTAGGCTCTGCCATTAACCTCTAAATCAAAGGGATTAGAAAAAATCTTGCCTGTTTTTAGCCAAAAAGATCTCTATGACTATTAAACAAGCAAACAAATAAATGATGCTTAACAAATGCTAGTGATGCTGAGATGAGAGGAGCAGGAAAATATGTGAATATAGCAGCTCCCAGCTATAATTTTAGTCTATTTTTTTCTCTTACCATAACAAAGGAAAAACCCTTCCAGAGAGAAATCCAGCCATCAGGACACAAAGGAACTGCAGTTGTTTGACTATGAATTGCTATTACCATTGCAGGTCCTTCACAGACAATACACCTATGATATGAAACATGTGTATTAGATGGCAAAAAAGAAATAAGCTGTTCTGGTCCTTGATGATACCTTTTCCCTTTGTTTCAGAAAGTAACAGCAATTTTGATATAAAACTATTTTTTGTGCAATGAATGAGAAGCTACAAAGCAGCAGGGAAATCTGGTGAGCAATTTTCAACTGCTACAATATCCATTATCTTCAAAATATTCATGAATAACACTTCACATGACTTGGTGGGGGATCGGGAAGACTATCCCTAGAACACTTTGATCGTGTTAAGGCTGGCAATAGGCTAAGGTTCTCTCTTTTTATGTATCTTGAAGCGCAGGTTCTGCAGCTTTACTTGCCAATATTAAAAAAGACCTGCTCCCTTCTTCTGGCATACAACTGGACTGGAGAGAGAGCAGCTTAGTACGCAAAACTGGCCTGAAGTTCACCTTCCCACCTCCTGATCTTGCTGCTTCTCTGTGCAGAGCTGTGGCTTTCTGACATTTAGAGCTGCCTGAGGGCTTTTCTGATGTAGACTTAGTTGCAAAAAGCCATGTGCAACCAAAAATACAGTTGAGGACTGGCATTGTGCAGGGATTTTAGAGCCAGGCTCCCTTTTCTTCAGGCACATCTTGCTTTCTCTATTACTCTAACAGAAAAAGTAGTGAGATCCTAATGGTTTGATTATTTCTAGTCCAGCTGGCATAGCCCTTACGTGGCTAGGTAAGTGTTGGATGTCCCCAGATACCTGGGTGATAGAATTTAAGAGATATATCTGCAAACAAACAAGGATTTAAAACAAAATCTTCTGTTGTACACTTGCCCAGAGATATTGAACAGGAGAACATTAACCATCCTGATATATAATTTTCTTGCAGCAACTACAGTAAATATGGTTTATTCCAATATGTGCGTTAAAGTAAATTCAGCTGACAGGAGAATGACACCTTGTATTCTGAAATTAAAGCTGTTTACATTCAGCCTATCCACATCCAATCTTCCTATACACAGTAGCAGTCAAACATTATAATAATATTGTTCCTGAGAACCATCAGGGTCAGCAAGACTTTGAGTTATCTTTCTAGTGCTGGGTATGCAAATTAAACCTACCAGATCAAAAAATAATTGCGTGATCTACCCATGTCAGAAGGAGAGCCAACATTCTTAAACTCATACCTGCTAATATATGGCTCCAAAGCTCTGCCAGAAACTGGTGCCATGTCTGGTGGCATTGCTGCTGCAGTAGACAGCCAATATGAGTAGTCATTGCGAGAAGCAAAATTGCAAATCTTGTTGGTGTTACAGAATAAAAATGGCATAGTGGTAAATCTCTGCAGGCAGCTACCAGCTGTTCCTGAAAAGACACAGTATGGTAGTCTTATAAAAGGCAAGAGATATGGTTAGTTCGGTAAATGGAACAGAGGTGTGATGGGATCCAATCTATTGTATTAAGAGTAAAGAGATGTAAAGCATGTAAAGAAAATAAATTATGCAGCTCTGTATAACAGTATTTTAAGAGACAATGGGTGTGTCTACATGTGAATATTAATGTGATGCAATAAATTCTGGTGTAGTTCCTGCTTGAGTTAATTGCTTCCAGGCTCAGCGTTAACATGTGTGCCCAGGACCACAGCTTGTTGAACTGGGGCAGCGCTGCCCCGGCTGGCAGGGGACCCGGGGGGCAGGGGAGAGGGGGCAGCAGTTTGCCAGTCTGAGGCTGTTCCAATTTGGTTCAGTGCTATAGAGGGACTGACTGGGGCACAAGGGTGCTACACTGCAGGGATAGCTGGCAGGCAGCCCTGCACTGTAGCACTCTCATGCCCCAGCCACCGTCTACATGTTTGTTATAGCAGAGGAAATAACTCTGGTGTAGGATAGTACTTGTATCAGGCAGTACTAACTTACGGTGGAGTTAATTAGTTTACTCCAGCTTAATAGCTCTGCATGTGTAGATGGAGATGATTTACTGCAGAGCTGAGTAGGCAATTCTGCATTAAGCATCTTGTGTAAATGCTCCCTAAGATTATTAAATTAAATACAAGGAGGCTCCATTTTAAAATAACGTTGGAGATCAGAACAAAATCCATTACAAGGGGTGTTTTGCTTTATGCTGTAATACCACTTACTACTCAGTCCCTGACACGGAATGGCCAGGCTGAAAAAAAAAAGCTTGAGTTGCATGAAAAGAATTGCTCCTCTTTGAGCCATGACTCCTGCTCTTGGGTTCTCTTGGAGCAGCACACCTCTCCACCACCCTTTAATTAGATCTAACTGTAGGAGTAGTCTCTTGCCCCAGGCATACAGTGAAGATTGGTAGCTCTAATACTTTCATTCCAGATAAATGATCAGATAAATAATCAGATATTTACTGCATATTTGCTTTTTGTACATGTAGCTTAGCATTATTTTGTACTGTTCAGTGAAGAGGTTGTGATCTTTGCACAAAATGTCTTGAAGATTTTTAATACAATACCAAGGTCCTGTCCATGTGCTCGCTCATTTCCTTGTACAGAAAGCAGAGAATAACCGCTATAGAGGTGAGATGTTCCAGATGGACAAGAAGGCATCATTGTTGACTGGCTGTGTCGGGTAAAGATGAACCCTCTTCTTGCTGAGCTAGGGATGAAAGCACCTGGGTATCCAGGTATGCCTGGTAGGCCTGGAAAGCCAATGAGCCCAGGTTGTCCTGTGTACAAAACAAATAAAACAAGCCTTTTTTTGCAACCCTTATGGCTCTGTCTATTTTCTAGTAGTGACTGCATTCTGAAGTAACTGTAGAAACACTTGGAATCAAAATTTTAGTCAACACATAGATACAAACTTGAAGGTTTTTGTTATTTATATTGTGTTAGGACCTAGAAACTCTTACGAGATCAGGACCACTCTGTGCTGGCCTTGATCACACAGGAAAAGGCAATTCTTGTCTCAAAGAGCATACAGTAAAAACAGCAAAACTATAAAGACAAGCAGAGGTGAAATGATTTATGCAAGGCCACAAAGCAGGCTAGTAATATGGTCAGGAACAGAATCTGGAGCTCCCAGCTATCAGTCTAGTATCTGCTCCAATAAAACACATCAGTTTTTATTCTTACTTTTAGCTACAGCTCTCTTTCTAGGAGACATATTTCCAAACAGTAACCTAACTTGAGAAATTTAACTTTGCTTACTTTACAAAAATTAATATTAGTCAAAATATATATTTAAACTTCTGCTGAATGGAAACAGTATTTAAGTAGGTTTCTTATGGAACAACTAAATAAATATTAATATATTACAATGCATTTTGATTCTGTGCAATACTGTACAATCAGATGTCTGCACTGTTTGCACTGTAAGTATGCCTACACTGCATGATATGGTATAGAGTAGACGAT